GACAGGTGTTATTTATGTACTACGGCCAGTTTTCTATTAAATATTTAGTTCTGGAATGAAAATGTGTATTCAGGATCCCTATGATTATCGTTTTGATCAAGTCTATCAAGCCTCTGTTTTTTAAAAATGATCTGAAACAAATTAATAAGCCACGCTTCACACTACAGCAGCCTCTCAGGCTGTGGCCATGCAGGCTTACCCTCTTCAGTAAGGCGATAGTTGTCTCATCTTCCTGGGACAGTTTGAGAGCAGCTGTGACTTTAGTTGAGTTGGACACAATCTCAGCGTTCAGCTCCCTGCATTTGGACATGAGCCTCTTCTCATTCTCCCGCGACTTCTTCATAGCCTGGATCAGCTTCTCGTACTCCGCCCTGATCCTGTCCATGCTCTCGTCCCCAACCAGCTCACTGAGAACCATCTGGAACTCATCCAAAGACTCAGAGGAGTCCTCGGCTCCCCGTCCTGTCTCCTGCAGGGACAGCAGAGACACACACTCAGCATGGGAGAGCTGTGAGACAGGGACTCCACTCATATGAACCACATTTCACATGTAGCCCTTTGTTATGTTAAAGTAACCTCATGTTAAAAATAAGTTTGGAAATTAAAGTTTATTTGGACATTTAAGAAAAGGAAACAGCATCAATGAAAACACTTTATGAGCAAATTGAGTGGGAAATGAAGATTGAGCTTTTCGAGTCGTACCCCTTCTTTATATTGTGTCTGCAAAATGTATGTTAAACATAGTTCTTCAAGCTTCTCAGCTACAACACACCACTCAAACAAGTCAAGCTACACATACAATCACAAACAAAGCAACTACACATCCTGTTCCAACATATTTATGTTCAGAAAGTAATTTTTAAACCTGTTTTTTTAATTTATAAAAGTCAAACAGATGCTTTGTACAATTATTCCTTAAATTGACTCCTTTTACTGTGACAGTGACATGTGTTGGTTGTCACTTATCGTTTTTAAATGAGCTACTTCCCCTTAGCTCATGCTCATGGCTCTCATTTGAAATATTTTTGGATACTGTTGGGTAATAATTTATTTTTTGCTTTGCACATAATTCTATAGTTTGGAAGTCAGTTGATCACTTGAACCCGCAGTGAGCTGATGCTGAACCACAGAGCAGAGAAATAAAATGAACACAAGCTCAATGTCACTTTCCACGAGTTTGAACAGGAGTCAAATTGATGATATTTAATAAGATGAAGATGATGTTAACGCTGTTAACACACAGTTAGGTTGAAATGTAAAGTGTCACAAAGAGAAGTTACCTCCATCATGCGTGTTGAGCAGCTGGGGCACAGTTATAGTTAAAGTTATAGTTAAAGTTAAAATCCTCTCAGGAAGAACACGGGCTGATCAGGGCTGTTGTCTTCTGTTGCTTAGCAACCGGCGACCTCGCGAGAGAAGGAGCCTCCGGTGCACAGTGGGTTGCCAGGTCCGCGGACGCGAGCAACTTTCACTGTTGCTCTGTCACTACATGGACGTGGATCCTAATCCAACCCGTTTCAGTGTGAGAACACAATCACATCATAGAACAAGGATCTGCAAACGTTTTCATGGAAGTCCATGGTTTTTCTTCCATAAACCACCTGATATGTTTTGTGGAATATATGCACAAATGGCAACCAAGAACCCCCCCCTATCATTGATGCAAGGCTTTCTACAAGGAAGTGGAGCAGTGAGCCGGTGGGACAAGAAGCCAGCTAGGAACAATTAGAAATTAGAATATGAAGAATGCACATTTACTTTGTTGCTTATAGAATAGACAGAATCAATGCATGGCAGTCTGGTGTGTTTCCATATATTTATTTATGATCCACATAGCAGATTTATTTGACTTGTATCAGTGCTGCCTCAGACCTCTACACATGCAGTACATTAAATAACCTGTGTTAAAGTAAGGGAGACATAACAACAAGTCAGAGATTGTTTTTCTATGTTTGTTGAACATGTGGTTTGACTTTTACTATTTATTGAACTGACAGTGAGAAGTTTAATTGTCAATTTACTTACACCTAGTTTACAGTTGTGTGTGTCTGTGTGTGAGGAAATTAGAAATCAAGTAATTCTCATATAAAGGCATGTAACCTTCTCCAGTTACAGCACAGATCAATAAAGGCCCTGCTCACATGGTCATATTTGAGGAAGTGTGGTAATAAAGTAATAAAGTTACTTAAACAAGGAGTCAGGAAAACACTAGACCACCTCATTTATATTCTCTTTACAGTGACAAAGATGTTGTAATCATTTTATTTATTGATTG